AGCAGCTGCTCCCCGGGCCCAGGCTGGGAACAGCCCGGGGTGCCCCTGAGCCACCTGCCAGCCCTGCTGCCCCCCGCCCAGAGCACAGGGGCTCTGCTCTGCTCCTGGGCACTTGCTGCTGCTCCCACAGAGAGGCACAAAGGTACTAGTGGTACCCAGAGCAGCCTTGGGTCACAGTGGGGCTGAAGAAGCCACATGAGGGTTTCTCACGGCACGTGAGCAGACCCCAGACTCCCCCACACCCACAGGGCTGGTGAAGGGATGGAATGGGGGGTGCCCTGTGCCTCCAGCTGCCAACACAGACTCTGTCACACACGAGGCCACGGGAGGAGACCTCCAGCCACCAAAACAAGCCCCAGAGGCAAAACGTCTGGGCCCTGACGTGTCACAGCTCTTGGGCTGGAGGCAGGTGTGGGAGCTGGGTACAAGCAGGCAGGGGCGAGCAGGGAGCACCCCTTGTGTGCAAAACCCTCCCTGCAGGCCACAGGACAGAGGTGAGGGAAGAAGAAATTATTGAAGTTATTTTCATTTCCCGTTGGGGAAGAGGCAGGACCAGGCACAGGAAACCCACAGCAGCTGATGCAGGCAGATTTCATGTTGGATCCAGGGAAGTCCTGGCTGCCAGAGGCACCATCCCTGAACCACACAGTTGTGAAATGCAGCTGTTGTTCAAGCACAACCCCTGGATGGCCACAGCAAGGCCCAAGGGACAGGGTGAGCAGGGTCTTGGGTGTCCACTGGAGGAACCCAGCACTTTGGAGGATGGAAGGAGGTCTCAGACCCAGGACAGGAGAACAAGAACACATCAACTCAGTGGTTCTGGTGCTGCTGGAGCAGAATGAACAGCCCAGGGAAGAGCCATGTCCCGTGGGCACTCAAGCAGCATCCATGGGCTGTGATCCTCCCATTAGTGCCATCCCAAATCCATCCCTGGGGCAGAAGTCCATGGGCAGAGCTCATTTTGCCCAGAAAGAAGCAGCCAAGAGCAGAGGAGAAGGCTAAAGCCAAATTCCCCCTTCCAGCCTCCACAGTGCCATGACCTTGCCTGTTGTCAGCACTTCACTGGGACTTGCTCAGTGCAGAGGACAAGCTCCTCTGCAAGGACATCACACAAGATGTGACACCATGTGTCAGCAGTGCTGTTTCAAAACAATATTTAAGACATTCAGGATGAGCATTGAGGAACCAGAACCTCTTCCATTAGAAGAAATGAAATTCTATAGGGAATAGCACAGAGAGGAAGCAAAACCAGAAATAATTCTTCCATGGTTTGAGCAAATGCTAAAGTTGAACTGTAAAACCCCTTCTAACAGCACAATCCCTGACCAAGCACTTCCGTGTTTGGCAAGAAGGAGCTGAAACCACAGCTAATGCTCCATAGGCAGGCTGGTCCTGGTAGTGCTTCATGCTGGGATGACAGCAAGGAATTGAGTGTGAAATCCTGCCCTGCCTGACTGGACCTGACCCTTCAGAGGGGAAAGGGCTTCAACTGATGGGCAGATCTATGGGGCAAGGAGTGGTCCACCCAGGGCTGGTGGACATGCAGGAAAGGGCTAACATCAGACAGGAGGGCAGGGAGCTGCAGGAGGTTCCTCTCTGGTGCTGATCCCATGGGTCAGGACCCACTCCTTGCTGTACCCAGGCCACCCACTGCTCCCAAGGCCAGGGCTGCTGCTGGTCCCACACGCTCCCCAGCATGTGCGAGCAGTTCCCGATCCTGCCCACAGCTCTTTCTGCATCTCCTGTGTGATGCAACGGCCCAAACCACCCTGCAGTCATGTACTGGGGCTGGGGGGATCAGCTGTGGCTCTGCTCCATCCCCAGCGGGGACACTCAGGCCCGTTTTCCTTTTCCAGGGAAATCCAGCTGCATCCATTTCCCACAGTGCCACAATCACCTCGGGAATTCCCCAGGGACCCGGGCAGCATGTGCCAGAAGCCTGGCAGCTGCCAGGCACAGGGCAGAGAGGTGGGCTGGCAAACACTGCTGGGGAAACACAGGGGAAAACCCAGGAGACTGGTCAAGAAAAGCGAGAGTGACCCAGCTGGTTTTGGGAGAAATTGGAAAAGGGAAGTCCACATCCAGAAATAAAACTTCCCCTTCTCCATTTCTAACCAGGACAAGTTCAGTGCCAATAACAGGACAGGGCTCTGACCAGCCTGTGGCCGCCGTGGCTGCCCTCAGACCCGCAGGGACTTCACCCAGAGCTCAGTAAAATTCTCTCAGTGTGCAGACGCAGCTCTTGCCTGCTCCAGGTGTGGGATGGCTGCCAGCCCGGCGCTGCTCGCTGTCACCTGCCAGTCCCTAGCAACCTTTGATCCAGCAGCATCTGAAAACACAGCAGGGACACGCGGGGGCTCTGCCGCTGTGGTTTTTTCAGCTGCAGTGTCGGCGTGACCCGGTCCTGGCTGTTCCCAGAGCCGGGAGGGCTCTCTGCCAGCGGGGGTCACCGCTGAGGCCAGCCCTGACCTCTGCAGCAAAACCAAGGCAACCAGGAACACCTGGGGACCTCAGAGCTAATTACGCAGCTAATAATGAGCTAATAATAAGAGCTAATACCACAGGAGCTGTGTGGGGCACAGCGAGCAGCTGTGCCCACAGATGAGGGCCCTGGGTGCAGGGACACTGCCATAAGTGACAAATCTCCCAGCAGCAGCCCAGCTCCAGAGACTGTCCCTAATGCTGGGCCCATGACCCTGACCCTCCCTCCACCCCAGCATCCGGGTGACGTCCCGGGTGTCCCGTGGGGACCAGCACTGCAGCCTCTCCGCCCGCCGAGGGCTGCTGCTGCCCCAGACAGGCGGGCTCCTCTCGCAGCACGCCAGCTCGTGACGCGAGGTCTGGGAGTCTCGTGGGAGACAAAAGGGGATCCAGAGAGCCAAGGGGGATGATTTTGCAGAAAAGTAAAAATAAATATGCAGGAATGGTGACCTCGGGCTGAGCTGGGGGGTTGTGAATGGTGGCTCTGTGCTGGTGGAGGGCCAGGGCAGGAGGCCACATGCAGCCTGTCCAAGCAGCTGCTTGGGACAAACAGGACATGGAGAAAGGGAGCAAAAGAGGAGGGTGAGCTCATGGGGTCAGAGGCACCCAGGAGGCTGCCAGGGGCTCTGCCTTTTGCTGGGCAGGCTTGGTACCCAACACCCCCACTCCCACCCCTGAGCCTTTTCACCTGTGGATGGCAGGAGGGCACAGGGAGCTGCTTTGAGGTGCTACAGGGATGTGGAGCTGGATCCAGCCATGCCAGGTGCCTTAGCAGGGTGGGCTAGTTTAGCACAAATGATAAGAGCACCCCAGAAACCAGACTTGGTGCTGCTGCCCTCGGGCACTCCACACTGCCAGGGGGATGGGGACCCACTGGGCTTCATACCCTTCTCCTGCTCACCGGTGCCACAGCAGGATCCAACCTGCTGGTGTGGGACTGCTCAGCCAATACTGCTTCCCTCCACACCCATCCTGGTGCCTTCCAGGAGGCCTATGAGCCAAAATCAGCTCTTGGGCTCATTTCAGAGGTAACCAGGCAATTAAAGGAGGTCGGAGCATGAGCTCATACTCCCCTTGCACTCAGGGAAGCTATAAAAAGGCTGAAGCAGAGTATGTGAACTAAGGCAATTAAAGGAGCAGTTGGCTGCTGGTGTGGAAGGGAGGAGCTGGCCCAGCTGGCCCCGGTTTGCATGAGGGCTCCTGGGCAGACCCAGGGAGCTGTGGTGGTGCCCGTGGGTCCTGGGCCCCACGCTGGGCTGCAGCCCCAGGCTCCAGCCCCGCTCCCCACGGGCACAACCGTGCCCGGGCCTTCGCAGCACTCGTGATCTGTGCTGGTGACAGAAGGGCTCTCACTAGCTCCCAAGGAAATGGGAAGCGAACGCAAAGCCCTCCCTGGCGCCGTCCTCCCTCCAAGCAAGCCAGCAGCCCAGCTGCACCTCCTCCTGCCTCGGCTTGTTTGCACAGCCTGTCCTCTGGCCGCTCACTAACCCCTGGACAAATGTGTGTTACCGAGACTCCCCGGCGGCTCTCGCGGCCCACGCGCTGGCTGGGCACCCGTCTCTGCTCCTGCCCCCCATCCCAGCCCTGGGCCCATCCTTCAGCCCATAACGTGACAGTGAACTCAGCTTCAGCCTGAGCAGGGAGCAGAGGGTCCAAGAGCACCCGAGCAGGGGTGGACGGGCTGTGCTGAGCAGCAGTGGGTTTTGTTAGAGCTGCTCTGTGGCTTTGGCTCTGACACTGATTGTTTTTGTACAACCTCTGGCTGTTAAATCACACAATTCTGCCTTCAAGTAGGTACTTTCCATCACTGAAACATCCAAAGAGCACTAAGAGACGCTTTTCTCCTGCTGTGCTGTCAGGCCCATTCAGAGTCAGAACTCTGCTGTGCCAAGTGTGCTCTGAATACAAACCAGGCCGGATGGTTCCCATCAGCGCCAGCCCGTTTATTTAAAGCGGGTGAAGCCACGGCAGACGGTGCGTGCCTGCGGGTGCACCCCGCACCGGCACCCCGCACCCGGGATCCCGGCACCGCAGCTTTGCCTTCTCCCGGTGTGTGACGCGTCCCCGAGAGGGGAGCGGGACCCACCGGGGGCGGCCCGGGGGGCTGGAGCAGGACCCAGC